TGCTGGGATGACGACGACGACGACGACGACGGAATGCTGGACACTTGCGCTGGCCGTGCACCTTGGGAGCCTTGGGAGTCGTGGTGCCCGACGACGACTGGCTGTAACGACGGCTTTGGCCCCGACGTCCGTTGCCCGCTGCGGCTGGCGGTATCTAGTCTGCTCGCGTCCTCATCAAAGGCACGCTGCATTGCTGCGTTGCACCGCTGACTGGTGCCGTGGTCCCGTCGCTGTTCGTGTACTGATGGTGTGACTGAGTAAGTGGCGCCAGGCGCGCGGTACTGCGGCGAGTACTGGTCAGCCGGCTGCTGTGGCGGGCGCTCCAGCGACGTGTTGATTGGGTTTACCAGCGACCCGTCTCGCCAATGTTTGGGCAGCTGCGGCGGCGGGGTCCTGGCGGGCGTGCCTCGCGCTGGGTTGCTGACGGTGCTCGCGCTGAGCGTGCAGAATAGTCTGCCTGCTGCTGTTGCTGTTGCTGCTGCTGGCGTCCTGCGTCAGGAGCTGATCCGTTGTCCACACCGGCCATCTTCTTCCACACCATGTCGTCCATGTGCTTTGTGTTCTCCTGGTAGAAGCGCATCACCTCCATCACCGCCTGCGGATTCGCCTCCTGGTCCTGCTTGGTGATGCCAGCCTCGCGCAGCATAATCGACCACTCGCGCGCAGTCCTACAAATTAAAACAATAAGGCGCCGCCCATGTGCAATAATTAGGATGTGCATCGGTGATGCTTGTGTTGATCAAGAAGGCCGACAAGAACGTGACAAAAAAGAAGCTCAGTCCAGTCTCAGCTTCCGGCTCCCAATTAGGAAACAGGCCAGGCCCCGCCGACCGGTGTTTGGCTGGCCCCACTGCCCGGAGCACAGCAAGACAGGCGCTGAAGAGGGGAATGGGTGGTTAAGAAAGGGCAGAAAATTCCCCCCAGTGAGCATGCGAATGGTAAATCATGGCAAGCTACATGCTTTTGCCAGCCATTTGAAAGAGAAAAAAGATCAAAACAAATGGTGCTGCAGCCTCTCCCTTTTTTTATTCCATAGGCGGTCCCAGCGGCTGGCAGCCTTCAGAGCGCCTTTTCATAAAGGAGAGCAAAAATGCAGCCAGAGTATCCCTCTACTTACCGTGAACTCGCCCGTCTCGTTGTTGAAGCCGACGTGCGTGAGGTGAATGGGGTTGTACGGCGCAGAAATCTCAGACCGATTGTCACCAGACAACGAGTCTAGAATAGCGACAATTAAGCAAGGTGAAGAAACGAGTAGGTTAGTTTAAATGCAACAAAGGCTATACCCCTTCCCAGAGGCCGCGGTTCAACAGCGAGCCTCGCAGAGGAGAGAATAGCCCACGACAGCAGGCGTGCTCGTTTTTTCGCTGCGCGTCACAAAAGATAGAAAGTGAACGAGCATGGGGGTTTGCTTTCTTACCAGACTCCTTACCAAACATCGACGAGAACAGCTTGTTGACTGCTCCCTTGAACGACTTGTTGCCCTGCGAGTTGTCGACCTGGATGGGCTCCAGCTGGCCCAGATATGTGCTATTAAGGGGTTTCCCGTCCGAGTATTTGCGCGTCGGCAGGCTCTGCTGCAGATTGCCTGCTGTGGTCTTGCTCCGCTGCAGCGTGTTTCCCGGACCGTGGCCCGACTTCTTGGGCGGCGGCGGCGCCTGCCGTGACGGGACCATGCCGCCCTGAGCAAACTCGCCCGAGCCGTTTGCATACCCGCCATTGGGCGTCCCGGAGACCGAGCTGGATGGAGCATGCCGTGACCCCGACGGCGGTGCCGGTGCGCTGCGCCGCGGGATAAACGAATCGGGCGCCTCGAGCCGCGACGAATCAGCGAACGCCGGATCCATTCCCTGCTCGCCGTAAATTTGCGTTGCAGAGAGACCGCCGTGGTAGGCTTGCTCCCCCGGCGGGGTGATGGGCTGTGACCCTCCGTGTCCTTGGCTTTCGTTCATCTTGCGAATGAGAGAGTGAAATGTAAGGTTTTAAGAAAAAGGGAGTGGACAAAAAGAGAGAATAGCGAGTAATAAACAAGAAAGATTTTTCGGGACTTTCCAGTAAAGTGGGTTTCGATAGAGGAACGGAGCAAGTGCAGCTAAAAGATTATATGGTTGTTTTTCATCCAGCCACAGTGGCCTGCTGTGCGTTAGTTGAGGATCCGTTGGTACAGGCGCGTGCAAGGGTGAAATGTAGGTTAACGAAGAGGGAATTAAATGAGGTGTTTTGCAAAGATGAGAAGAGAAAAAGGCCAGTGTATTCTAGACCCACCGTATTGCTCAAATCGCTTGCGAGACGGGCCAACCAAGGTAGATCATGTATAGAGCCACACAAATGAAGCAGGCTGATTCGACGGCTCTCCCCCCGCTCCCCTCCTGTCTTGCGAGAAATAAGCGCAAGTGAGAACTGCCTGTCAGAAAGACGCCGCCATACGCGAAGCCCTCACACCTCTTTGTTGGCGCTATGGCCCTCGAGGTTCCCAGGCCTGAAATGACATCAATACACGAGCAGGCAGTGTATAATAAGAACTCTCCCGGTCCAGCAAGCCCATTTGGGAACCGGCGCCCAGGTCCGCATATTGCCCCTTGTGCGAGGTACTTATTGACAGCACTGATCCGGAATGGAAAACAGAACCTTGCAAGTGCCGCCCGCCCGATACCCTGCCCGCGACCCAAGCCCGAGATGGACCTGTCTTGGAATTCGAATCAGCGATATGCCTTCATAATGTTCATATTGGAACCAGTTCATGTACTGCATTCGCAGTTTCGATGCCGCCACCAGCGCAGTTCCCGCCAACTGTGGCGACGCCATCAGACACAATGGAGCCGCGGCTCGCCCCGACTCGGCTTGTCGATTTTTTATCGCGGAGTGCGTGCTGAGACCCGGCCCAATCAGCGCGGCAGAGGTCAGTTGCTCAAAAACTTCCTCCACGTCCATCGAAGAAGCGCGCATTTGCTCTCTTTGAAAAATGGATTTGGCCGTTGCGCTCTCTGAAAAAAACAAAGCACTTTTTTCTCCCTCCTTGCACACAAAATCATTTTTAACTCTACAGAACCAACTCTGATGCTGCATCAAGGCATGCCCAACGCAGACACAGCACAGACAGAGCAGAGCAAGAGGCATGCGCCTGCTCGGGTAGAGAAAGGTAAGGGAGCAGCGCTTGCTGAGGTAATAAAGTTGGTGGACCATCTCGAGACTGCCACTGCTAGGCCAAAGAAGGGTCCGAGCGACCCAGAAAAATAATTATGCGGTCCGGGCAAATAGGATGTCGACGTTGGCTCTGGCCAAGTACCTCCAAGTGCCAGCTCTGACAACGCATTTTTTTCGTCCACGATTTTTTTTTTTCTTCACGCATGAGCATTCCATTTCAACCTGCTGCCCGCTTCAAAATACCACGACCTACTAACATGCCGACTTGTTCGTGACTGTACCTCGGTTACCGCTCACCTGCCGTGGCCAATACATAGAGGTACGTATACGTGAAATCTCAAAAGGAGAAAATAAATAGTACTATATTGAAACCTACCCCTGCGAGCAAATAGCAATTTTGCTGCTAAGCACTAAATCGTTTTTTGTAGCTCCACTTTCTCATTGCGCACTACCTGTCGCAGAGCACTCTCCGGGACGCGACGGCGCCGCTGCTGGCAGCACTGGAGACAATGCCGGCCATGCTGCCCGAGCGGCATGACTGGCAGGGAAATTTGCATTCGCGCTCATACAGCGAGCTTGCTCGCGAGCTCCCGCATGTAAAAGGCACTGAGCTACTGCGTGTAATGCAGGCACTGACCGATAGAGACACAGCTGAGCTGCAGACTGCCGGTGGGACGGTCCTAGGACGGACAACCCGCCGATCACAAAAACCTATGCCAATCAGGACCCGGATACGCGAGCGGCACACCAACCCGTCGCGGCAGCTGCACCAGTCACAGCGTCTGCCAGTCTCGATATTTGCCAGTGCGCGCAAGCTGGTGCGCTGTCATGGACACAAGTTCCCGACATTCTGCGTTAGCTTTGACCGCACGTCGCGGCGCATGATCACGGGGAGCGACGACTACCTGGTCAAAGTGTGGTGCACACGCACCGGCTACCTCATCAACTCGCTGAAGGGGCACCAGGACGTGGTTACCGATATCACCATCAACACCGAAAACACCCTGGTCGCGTCGTCGTCGCAGGACGGCTCAGTGCGGATCTGGAACTTAAAATCCGGCGAGCCACGCGCTGTCCTGGTCGCTCACGCCACTGGCCGCAACAAGTCTGTCACCGCAGTGCGCTTTTCGCCGTCGCCGGTGCCGCAGCTGCGCTTCCTGGCCACGACCTGCGACGATGGACTGTGCCGCCTCTATCGCTGGAGTCGCGAGTCGCTCACGGTGGATTCGACACCCATCGAAATTGATGCCAGGCCAGACACACGTGACAGCATCACGGCATTCACGTTCAACCACACGGGTTCACGCTTCGCTGTGGCCACAAAGGGCGGATACATCAGCATCTACTCGACCATCGCAGGCGCCGTCAACGCCCAGCCTGGCCAGTCGTGGGGCGAGCCAAAGCTGATCAAGCGGCTGGCAGCGCACGATGATAGCATCACGACGCTGGCGTTCAGCGGCGATGGCGAGATGCTGCTGTCAGGCGCAAACGACGGAACAGCCAAGGTGTGGAAGTGTGATAGCGCCATGTCGGCATGGCACTCGGTCACAGCTGATGTCAAAGAGCCCGTGCCACCTCCGGAGGATATCCTGCCACTGGCACTGACCAGTGCATGGGCCGAGCCAACCGCGCCTAGGACAGAACTAAACCAGCCGGCGCCACTGCCCACGGCACTGCCTGCTGATGCCCAGCAGCCGCCAGCACCGACAATGCTGGCTGATGGCATCATGTCGGTAGCCGGGCTACCGTCCGCAGCAGCAGCCGCAGCAGCCTCTGAGCCCAGCAGTGCAGCGATCGAACAAAACCGCTTTGCTTTGGCCGACCAGCTTGCATCTGTCGGCATCAGCAGCCCTGCTGAGCTGGTGGCGGACAGCACAACAGCGGCAGCCCCAGCAGCCCCTACAGACGCACCTGCCAGCGCTCCTGAAGCTGCTACTGACTCAACGACGCCAGCGCCGCTCACTGTAAAGCGCATCGAGACGAACCAGGTCGCCTGGATGTGCGACAGCTCGCATGTCATCATCAGCAACAATCTCGGCACTGTTTTTCTCTTTGATCCACACACGGGGAAGACCGTCTGGAAAAAGCGCGCCCACAGCGTCGCCGACACGTTTGTCCTGATCCCCCACCCCACCGACCCGCGGATCGCCGTCTCGGGTGGCTACGACGGTCGTGCTATCATCTGGGACGTGAGCACCGGCAATATCGTAAATGAGCTAAAGGTCGGCGAGCAGCTCTTTGACGGCGCGTTCTCCGAAGACGGACTTACCTTTGCGCTAGCTAGTGAGAGCGGCGCGGCAACGCTGTTTGGCCTTGGTCCGACGTGGGCGTACGATGATGCAAACAAAATGCCCGAGCAGACGTTTGCCAGCGACTACACGGGGATTATCATGGACGAGAACCACTTTGTCGCTGACCAGCAGATGCAGATTGCTGCGCACCTGGTGCCTCACAGCGCGCTGATGGACTTTGACGGCCGCGTGTATCGCAAGCAAAAGGGACCCAAGTTTGGTATGGGCATCACCATGGGCGTCGACAGCGAGAAATTTGCCAGTGAAGACCGTGGCCGGCTGGCTGCACTGGCTATCGAGCTCGAGCATGCCTATCTCGACGTGCAGGCAGCACAGGCGCCTGTGGCAGAGACCCGGCCGGCACGCCGTCGCCGTAGGCGCGGCCGTCCTGCACGCTCCGAGACAGTCGAGGAGGCCATCCCGGAAGCAGACCTCCAGATCATTATCCCCATCGATGATGACAGTGACGACGAAGAGTATACAGCCGGAGAAGATGAGGAGGAGGAGGACGATGGCGTGCTGGCGTTGGATGATGACGACGACGCTGACGGCGAGAACGAAGGTGGTGCGGACCGCCGGACTGCCCTTGAACTGCTACGCAGCCGCCACAACACTGCCACAACACGCATTCATCGCCGTGCAGGCCGCCGCACCATCGACGAAGACGACTCGGACGACGACGAGGCAGATGGCAACTCACGTGAGGATCTGGCCGATGCCGGGTCGGGCAGCGAAGGGAGGGCAGTGGGTCCTTGCGTCCACGCCGCAGTCGCCGCGCTGGGCG